TATAATAATAAATACATTTATGATTGTAATGATTTATGTAATTTTTTTAATATTAATAAATTTATTTAATTGTATTTTAAAATTTATTTTATTTATTTAAATAGCTTATATTAGAGCGTAATATTGAAAATATTAATGAAAATTTTTAAATTTTTTAAATAAATATAAAAAAATTTAGTTAGAATATATTTTATTATTCAATTTATTAACAATAAATATTAGCTTTAACTAATTTTTAAATTTATTTAAAATTTAAGAATTAAATTATATAAATATATAAGAAGCAATTTTTTACTTTTAATTTCGTCTTAAAGATTGATTTATAAATATATATAAATCCTTATATAATTTTAATTATCATTTCACGCGATAATATCATCTCTCCGGAATCCAACGCTCGAACCCAACCTGTTTTCAACATACTGGAACAGGAGGTCGACTAACGACCCTTCAACGCGTTGCAATTTCGACGAGAAGCTCAGTTCCATCAATCGGTGGTGGCACGCGCGAATCCGAGGGGCGATTATCCCCCCGAGCCGCCATGTCCCCAGAGGGGGACACTTTCGTCCACCATCTTTTTTTTCCCCTTTTTTTCTTTTTCTTTTTTTTTTTTTCTTTTTGATTCTTCGCGCTTTCCACGCGTCGAACCACCTCGTTAAAACCATTTCCGGACGAAGACTAGCTTTCGAGCCGGTCATCCGGTTCCCCCATTAAATCCGGAAATCCACTTTTTTCCTCTCCCCCTCTCCTCTCCATTCCGTTGGAAATCCGAGGATACAACTTGCGCCCAGTAATCGTTAATTCACTATGAGCGAGTGAGTTAGGTTAATCGAGATGGATGATTACTGTTTAAATGTTGAAGTTCTTTGTGCGTTTCTTTTCAAGATGTATCGAAATTTATTCGGTTGAGTGAGATTAGGAATGGTATCTGAATTGTATATAGAATAATTCTCGTGGTAAAAGAAGTTGAGTTTATTTCGATCGAGTACTGAATATATTTTATAAATATTCAATTGGAATGTTTCTGTGAGTTTCCATTTAAGGTTGAAAATTATGAAACGAGAATCGGGTTAAGTAATTAGAAATTGATAGAAATTAGGGAAGTTTTGTTGAATATCGATTGTTTATTGGAATATTTAATGTATAGAATGTATAAAGTAATTATTATTATTATTATACATGTATTGATGAGAAAATTAAAAAGTTTGTTTAACTAGATATCGAATAATTATGAAAATAAAGTAATTTAAACGAATTTATATATTCAAAATTTCAATCGAAATCCGTGTACGAAGTTAAAAAGTGAGTAGGGAATTTCAAAATAAATTTGAAATAAAAATTCATAAAACTATTTTGAACGATAGAATTTTTCCATATAAAATAATAATTTTTTCAACGTATCGCTCTTCGAACATTTATCACTCTTGAATAAACGATATATATAACACAGACATTTTGCACAGTTCGAAAAGTGATAAAAGATTTACGTTTTAATTTTCCATGGTTTTATAGCTCTAATATAATATGAAAGCAATACACACGTAAAAAAAACGAAACATCGAGACACAGATAGCCACTGTTTTGGAAACCAAGTTACTCGAACTTTCTTCGATATTTTTCCGCATAGGATCAATAAAAAAAAAATTATATCACATTTTATATATTCCAATTGAAAAACAACGCGAATCCAATTCGATGAATAAACAACTCGTCCAAATCAAATCAAATTTCTTTAATACTTGAGACATAAATAAAATAAATATAAATAACGTGTAAATAAATTTAATCGTGTACACGATTAAAAATCAAAATAGCAAGTAAGCAGACGAAATTATCGCGCCACCTGCATGCAGTAGAATTTCCATTATTCGAACACCTGCTATCTAAACGTCCTACTATTCGAATGTTCCACTATCTAAACCTCCTATTACGGGAACACAGCACTCTCTATTATCATTACCCTCTATCGTTACCCTAATATCAAATTGATATTATATATTGCGTGTAACGACATCGTATCAAATATATAAATGTGTCGAAACGAAAGCTGTACAAATAATCACAAAACTGCGAAAACTGTTAGAGAATAGATTTTTAGAGAAGAGTTTTAATTATTAAAAAGATTGTACAAAATATAAATATGAACACTCACCAATTCTTATTTCAATTTTCAATCGATTCTTTCGATTCTACTCATCCATCGTTTGTTTCTTTCTACAACAACAACAAAATTTAACGAAACTCAAACTCTGTTAACAAACTCGAAGAATAAATAATACTTCGTAAAAAGTTAGTTTTTGACGATGATACACGTGATGATACATTTGTCAAACTTCTGTGTGGAATAATTAAAAACAATTATTCGAGTAAAAAATTATATAAAAAGTTTCGGATCGAAATCAATGAACGGAGATCGAATGTCCACGTAACACTAGCACGATCCGTCCACCATCCCATCTTTTATAGCCTTTGGAAACGTTGGTGATTCCTTCTACTGATGAACGATAATCGGCAAGGAACCTTGGGCTAATAATGCCTCCGTTAAATGGCCGATACAACGCGTTTAAATCATCCTCGCAGCAGAAGAGAATCAAGAGTTTCCCGCTAGCGGTCCGAGGCGACGTGACTGATTGAAAAATGGACGTTTCCGCGTGTTTCTGTGATAAATTATGCGTAATTTGTAGTGATTTTTATTGTGACGCCGGTTAACCCGTCATGTTATTCTCGTCACAATCACAACTCCTATGAATTTTAATTAATCGCCTATCTCGATTCTCTTAAATGCTTAAATATTTCGTAGGATTTATTAATACACGATTTGTGATCTTTGTTTTGGACGTCGAAAATTTAGATATCGAATGTCAAAATGTTATTGATGATAATTGGTATTGTAAGTAATCGATAAATCTTGGATCTTAATTTTATTTATCCGTTGAAAAGATTTTTAATAGTTATTTTAGATCGCGTTGGATAATTTTTAATCTTAATTATTTTATTCGTTGAAAAGAAGATTTTTAATAGTTATTCTTGTAGTTTCGTGTGATTCGGTGAATTCGTGATCTTTGCGTTGGACGTTGAAACGATATCGAAATATCATTGGTGATAACTGGTATTGTAAGTAGTCGATAAATCTTGATTTAATTTTGTTTATTTATTATTGAAAAAAAGATTTTTAATAGTTATTCTTGTAATTCGATAAATTCGTGGTCTTTGCATTGGATGAAACGATATCGAATATCAAAATATCATTGATAATTGGTATTGTAAGTAATCGATAAATCTTGATTTAATTTTGTTTATTATACGATGAATTCGTAATATTTGCGTTGGATAATTTTTAATCTTAATTATTTTATTCGTTGAAAAGAAGTAATTATTTTAAAGAAGTAATTATTAAGTAATAATTTTAGTAATTATTGTTGTAGTTTAGCTTGAATTCGTGATCTTTATATTGGATAATTTTTAATTTTAATTATTTTATTCGTTGAAAAGAAAATTTTTAGTAATTATTTTTGTAGTTTAGCTTGAATTCGTGATCTTTACGTTGGATAATTTTTAATCTTAATTATTTTATTCGTTGAAAAGAAAGTTTTTAGTAATTATTTTTGTAGTTTCGTGTGGTTCGGTAAATTCATGGTTTTTGTGTTGAACATCAAAACGATATCGAATATTAAAATTATTGATAAAATTGTAATCGATAAATTTTGATCTTCATTTTTTTCATCCATTGAAAAAAAGATTTTTAATAATTATTTTTGTAATTTCGCGTGATACGATGAATTCATGATTTTTGCGTTGGCCAATTTTTCATCTTAATTATTTTATTCGTTGAAAAGAAGATTTTTAATAATTATTCTTGTGGTTTCGCGTGATACGATGAATTCGTGGTTTTTATGATGGATAATTTTTAATCTTAGTTATTTTATTCGTTGAAAAGAAGATTTTTAATAATTATTCTCGTATTTTCGCGTGATACGATGAATAAAATTATTTATATTGTTATTCTCGGTCAATAACATGGCGGAAGAGCACGCAAGGGATCACTGGTTTCCTTGGCTGACTATAATCGACCGTTTCTACTAACTGTCTCTTAAGTTTTACTCGTTCAATATACTTTAGATTTATGAGCAACGATTCAAGGAAAAATTTAACAGTTGAAGTTACGAATAAAGTTACTTGAATAAGTTACTTCAACAATTTATTCTTCGAAACATAATAATAATAAATAATCAAATAGTTAATCAAAGTTATGTGAAAAGCGAACTATAATAACTATAAATGTTATTATAATAATGTTATTCAATAATAACATATTAACATAATAATAACATATGAATAAATGTTATTCAAGTATTTTAACAAGTGATTATTTAAAGTAACTTTATTCGAAATTTTTAACGAGTTTCAATATCCAACTCCGAATATGAACAAATTACATTCCATATAACTTTCCAATAATCTCGCTATAACTAATTAATTCGTGAAAATTCGTAATTTCTTCGTTCGAAGTCCCTGTTTTCACAATAAACGAGCAGAATACGATAGTAAATTTTTAATCTTGCAAATAACATTTAAGATTTGATTCCCTCCTTATTTATCAACAATCGAATAAAATGGATAGACTAAAAATCGCCTTCGAACCTTCGATCTTAATCTTCATTTCCTCGTGCAAATTAGCCAAAGTTCACTGGAAAAGATTTCCAAATACTTACTTTTCCGACTTTCTCGCAAAAGGAAAATTTAATCCACGATATCTTCGATACCTTATCCTCTCCACGTGGAATCACCACTTTTCCATGCGTATCACCATCCACGAGACACCACGTACACACACACACACATATATATATATATATATATAAAACGAATATCTAGGTTCGTGATTGGAAAACACGATGAATCCTTTCCACGTAACAGCCTGGCCAATTACAACGTCGTAACGGTGTTTCGAGCAAGGAAAGAAGAAAGGAAAGAAGTTGTTGCTCGGTCGAAAAAGAAAAGAAAACTGAGATGAAAGGAGATGGGACGACACGTTAGAGAAGAAGCTGGTGATATCCTAACTAATCTTAACTCGGATGGAAACTTCGTAACCAATCCCATAGGAACTCCACTAGCCGGCCACGCTTTTACCAAGTCTGGCAATGGTTTCGGGGGTTGAACCTTCGCTGGACTTCCGGTTCAATCAGCCGATCAAATGACGTCCCATACGACGTCTGTCCCGTGGTAGAGAGAGAGATTTGTGTCCTGTAGTTTCGTCCATCGATTCAATTCATCCGATTAAATTTCATCAATTATCTCGTTATCGTTTGCATTGATTCGTGTCTCTTCATTCGCAATTACTCCTATTTATAATATTTTATTGTGATGAATATCGTAGGGTAATGTTGTTATTCAGGATTAAAATTATTCGTATAAACGATATCGTATAAGTTTATCGTTCCTCGAGTAAACGTAAACTTCGTTTCGATATTTTGTAACATAAACCCGAGAAGAGAACAACAAGATTGAACTGGGGATCGAGTTGTTGGGACGAGTTATTTTGATTGGATAACGAGATGCAAAATAGACGAAGAGGTGAAGTGTGATACACGCTTTGAAAATATATATATATGTAAGGGAAGAAAAATTGTTCAAAAACATTTTCGATGATCGAAATTGCCAAACATTAAATTATTAAATCTAACGATACACAACGTTCAATTGAACAGTTGAAAATATACGATTTTTGCAACGAACGAGCCAAGAACGAATCGATCCAAAAATTCGCAATTTTTTTTTTAACAAAAAGTTTAACAAAAAGTTGTTTCGAAGGAAACCACTTTCACAACGGGGGCGGTACACGGAAAAAGGTTGAAAAATAATGGTAAAGAGCACGTGACTTATGGGGTAGCCATAGGTATATCGCGAGGAGGAGAGCGTCGAGTGTGGAATATAAACTTTAACGGATGGCTTCTTCCATTCCGGTGTACCGTGTACCAGAAGTGATCTAGGATCTGTGTCCCATCGTTCAAGCCTCCTCCAAGCGATCCACGCCCCAGATAGAACGTTACGCTAGGATCTACCCATTGTTCCTGCCACGTGTTATCGTTTTCTATGCGGAAACGTTCGAATGGAAAGTTCGGTTGGAACTATCTCTTATAGTTGAAATAGCCTTTCCTCGATCCACGTGTGTGAGAAGATTGGAGGAATTCTTTCGTCTAAATTGTTTAAAATCAATTTTATTTAACGTATTTAGTGTATTATTGCACGTTTTGTCTCGATTGATCATGGTTTGTAAAGTTGAAGGAAATTGATTTTGATTATTTATTTGCAATCTCGTTGATTTTTGAATTTTTAGATTTTTCTTAAAAGAAGGCTTTTAAGCTTTTAGGTTTTATTTAAAAGGATATTTTCAATTTATTTTCTTCTTGTCCGAGTATGAGTTTTCTCAAGAATTAATTAAGAATTGTTGAGAATGGTTAGTTATATAATTTTATCCGAAGGATTATTACTTTTTTATTTTATATAAGACACAAGGGTGTGATTTCTTGCAATTTGTCATTCACACTTAGCAATATTTCTATTTTTTTTTATTTTATTACAATCAAACGTATATTGATTGCTTGATTAAAATACGCTTATTGCTTTGTTTATGGTAAACTCGAGAATCTTTTACGTAATAAAAATACGCATTAAGTGTAATCAAAGATGAAAAAGAAAAAAAAAAAGAAACAGACAATCTTGTCTTGTTTCCAAGATAATAATAATCGAACAATCTATAATAATTTTTTATTGTTTTCTCAAATTATTTGAATTAAAATAATTAATAATTATTTTAAATTATTCAATCTAACAAACGATTATGATATCGTCAAGATATCATAAGATATTTCAATTGTCCTCTTCAGAAGAGATATCAAAGGCATTTATCTCAAAAGTACCATTATAGTGAATGGCTACATTATCGACGTATCAAGATAAATTAAAAAAAAAAAAAAAATCTAATAAAGTGTCACAATTAATCACGAGATAAAGTTAATACAAGGCGATAATTTAATTGATTGATAAAAAGATCCACGTTACGATAAGCATTGCGAATGAATGAACGATTCCACTTTTCTTTCGTAAGAGATCCTCGTAACAGATAACTCGTAAACAGATCTACTGTTGATCATTGCATGGCATCTCGTCGTTGTCGATTAAAATAGTTGAACT